ACGTACGACGTACGTACGACGTACGTACGACGACGTACGACGTAACGTAACTAACTAACTAACTAACGTAACTAACGTAACGTACGTACGTACGTCTCTCTCTCTCTCTCTCTCTCTCTCTCTCTCTCTCTCTCTCTCTCTCTCTCTCTCTCTCTCTCTCTCCATATCCTCCAAGTATTCAAGACCTCTCTCTCACAAATACAGATCTAAAAGAAAAAAAATGATGATCTTTAAGAATTTCATACAAGACCTCACGCACACATATACACACATACACATTAATAAAACACACACACCAATGTTTCAAAAAGCGCAAGGCAGCACCTAGGAGGTCGGGGAGGTCCAGGTTGCCCAGCACCCAGGTGGGCACCCAGGTGGGCACCCAGAACCTGGGCGGCCCAATAGAAATTTTTTTTTTAGGTTTTCTCTCTATAAAGCCTCTAATGGGTTTTAGGTTTCAAATTAACCTAAAACCCACAATTTTGCCCCTTTAGTATTAAAAAATGACCCAAAAATACCCTCAAGGAGCCGCATTTCCTCTCCTGGGTGGGGTGCAGGCCCTAGACGGTTTCAGGCGGCACCCAGGGATATCCGCCTAAGCGGCTACCCAGGCGCTGGGTGGTCCGCTTTTTTGAAACAGTGACACACACACACAAAACAACATATGGCCAATGTTCGAAAATTCGCCGCCCGACTGCCTAGGCTAAAAAAATTTAAAAACGCCTAAGCACAATCTAGGCAAGGGCATTATGCGTTTTGCTTCTAGGAGCCCGCCTGGGCACTATTGTTTGGGCGCCCGCCTAGGCGGCACCTCGCGACAACTTGCGAACGGCGGAAAAAAACCCTCGGGTGAGGAAGTATTTTAAGCCCCCAATAGAAAATTTGTGGCCTTTAGGGTGAGAAAAATCCCTCACAAACCACTCTTTTGTGATTTACTAAAAGATCGATAAATTTTTTTATTTTTTCGATTTCTTCCCAAAACAGGCAATAGTTTGTGAGTGGATTTGGAGCTTCTAATAGTTGATTTTGAGAACTTTTGGTGACCCAATAGACGAGGTTTGCACCGACATCGATTTGATTTTGATATTTTTAAAGTATTGTCATATTTGAAAGAGGGTTTTAATTTTATTTTGCTACAACATATTATGTTATGAATCATGTGTTTTTTCTTTTACTTTTTGTTTTTTTAAGATATATTTACATATTTGTAGTTAAAAAATTGCTTTTCTTGGTGATTTATTGATTTTTTTCTCACTTGGACTATGAAATTGAGCATATATCGCATTCTTTTATAAATAATTGATTCCTTTTTTTGTACATTGTGTCTTATTTTGATATTCTATTTTTTTTGTTTTAGTTTATTTGATAAATAATTGAGTATATGATATCTTAATGGGTTAAGTCTTATGTGAAAGTGAAACTAAAGCCTTAAAATGTCTTATATATTCGATTATTCATTTAAGTCTTATTGTAAAGTAATAGTTAGTGTCTTAGTGACTTAATTCTTTAATCTTATGTATTTTACAAGTTTGTTGATTAGGTGATTGACTAATTACATTGATTGATACTCGATCAATTATTATTCATTGAGGATAATGGCTTCTAATGCATCAAGTAGACCAACTAATCTAGGTTGGAAGTATGGAACTTGTCCAAATCCTCTTGACAAGAATAAAATCGAGTGTAAGTTTTGCAAAAACTGTTATAATGACGGCATCAACTGATTGAAGAAGCATTTAGCCGGTATTAAAGGGGATGTGGAGTCATGCACTCTAGTACCTGCTGAGGTCAAGAGACAGATGCTAGAGAACTTGGAGGGGGTGAGAGCCAAAAAACATGAGGTGACATTAACACGAGATCAATACGTAGGGGCTGTAAATATAAGTGGAGATCAAAGAGAGGAAGAAGACATCTACACTGAGGTTGGCTTTTCTAGTAAGCCAAGAACAAGGGAGCCTATGTATGTTTTCTTAACTCACCCTGATCCTGAGGTACTACCACGAGAAAGGTGTTAGACAAGCTTAGAGACAGCTATGAAGAAGGACCAAAAAGAAAGGGTAATCCAATTTCTGGGGATGTGGATGTTCCAAGCAGGCATTTATTTTAATGCCGCTAACTTGAGTAGCTTCCAAGCTATGTTGAGAGCAGTGGGCCAGTTTCGACCAGGGTTGAGTGCTCCAACTGCTTATGAGCTTAAAGGACCAGTACTCATGAAAGAAGTGGAGCCAATGAACAACTACTTGAAGACCCACACTGATGCGTGGGGTGTATATGGTTGCACAGTAATGACCGATGGCCGGAGTGATAAGAGACATAGAAACATCATGAATTTGATTGGTGAATTGTCCATTAGGGACAATGTTCAAGACGTTTATTGATGCTTCAGACAAGTCCCATGATGCACAGTTAATTTTTAATTTGGTGGACCAATGTATAGAAGAGATAGGGGAGGATAAAGTGGTCCAAGTTGTGACCAATATGTACTCTACTAATATAGCGGCCGCTAGATTATGATGGATAAGAGGCCACATATTTTCTAGTCCCCTTGTGCAGCACATTGCATAGACCTCATGCTCGAAGTCATTGGTAAGAGGAAGACATTCAAGACAACCATCGAAAGGCAAAGAAAGTCACACTTTATTTGTACAGTCATACTCAGGTATACATTTTAGTACTATACTAGTTTCTTTAGTTATTTGTTACTTATTTTGAGTATTTTTAATGCATTGATTTATTGAGGGTAATTTACTTAACTTACGAAATTCTACGTTGGTCAGGTCTTAGCCATGATGAGAAAGTTTACTGAGGACTGAGAGTTGGTGAGGCCTGGGGTGACTAGATTTGCAACCTCGTACTTATCCTTGCAATCTTTATATGAACAAAAGGGCAAATTGAGGTCCATGTTTGTATTTGAGGATTGGACCAAGTCCAAGTGGTGCAAGAAAGCTGATGGAAGAGTTGTTTACATTATCATGGACTCAAGATTTTGGAACCATGTCCATTATGCCTTGTTAGTCTTTCACCCTTTGGTAAAGGTTCTCAAGTTGGTTGATGCTGAGAAGAAACCTACTATGGGGCACATCTATAAAGCCATGCAGGATGCGAAGGAAGAAATCAAGAGATGGTTGGGGGATGAAAAGAGGAATGGGCCGTTTTTGAAGATTATTAAAGACAAATGGAACTCCTTGCTTGTTAGGCCCCTACACTTAGCAAGATACTACCTCAACTGCTCACTTTTATACCGATGTTGAAGTACATAGCAGGCCTAAGTTCAGGGATGCTTTCAACCAGTGCAATGTGAAGCTCAACCCTGATCCTGACATGCAGGATAAGGCAATGATGGAGTTAGATTTGTATAAGCTCGCTACTAGATCTCTTGGTAAGGAGGTGGCAATCAAGCAAAGATCCAAGATCTCTCTTGGTAAGTTTAGAACTTCTTCAATTTGATTTTATAATTTGAGTATTTAATTTCAATTAACCAGATGGCCAGTTACCTAATTTACTAAATTACTATATTCATAATTTTACATTTACAAGAAATAGGTGCATGGTGGATGGGCCATGGTGGAAGCACCCTTCATTTGAGACAGATGGCCATGAAAATACTGAATCTGACTTGCAGCTCTTCTGGATGTGAACGCAACTTCAGCACCTTTGAAATGGTAATATTACTTATTAAGTTAATGTCATGCATACTTACTAGTAGACTAGTTAGTAGTTAGTAAGTTAGTAACTAAGTGAGTTTTTTTTCTATTAGGTGCATACAAAGAAGAGGAACAGACTAGAGCAAAAACGACTGAACGACCTAGTCTTTGTTCAGTATAATCAGAAGTTACAAGAGCACCATCATCAGCTAGAACACAATCAAAGGGAGGCTATTGAAGCTTTTGATATTGATGACACATGCGAGTGGATGGTCGATGCCAGTGATGTTGAGGTTTTCCCTGGAGAGGCTTGACCTGGGGCCAGGTTCGTGAGGATGCTGGGACAACAATACCCCTTGCGCGCACCACTCGTGCTCAAACTTAGAGTCAGAGCCAAAGGAAGGGGAAGGGGAACGAGAAGGAGAAGGCAATGACGAAGAAGAGGAAGAGGGCATTGACATTAAGAGATGATAATGAAGAGGAAAAAGTAGATTCAGAGAAGACGAGGGATGACGCTCAATATGTTGAGGAGGGCAATGACTCTGATGTCGATGGCATGGTAACAATACCATCATCAGATGCTCCTCACGATCCAATTGAACACCCTGAGTGGTGACGCCGCTGATGCCATAGAGTTGTTTGGTTAATGAATGATGACTTGATGTATTCGTTTTTTATTTTGCCTTGTTGACTTGTGTATAACTGTAGCGTTGATTTGATTCTAGTATGGACTTCTAGTTTCCTACAATGACATTTGAGATTTCAAGCATTTTAATGTCTTACAACTTACAAGTTACAATCTCTTTGAGACTCGTATGATAGCTTCATCCGTAAATATGTTATGTGATTGTACTCATTGTAGTAATGTATTGTTGTCCTATTATGTTTTCACCTATTTCATGATCATGAGGAGTTTGGGGCTCTAAAATTGCCCTAAAAACTCCCTAAGGCTATAAACCATGCCGTAAGAACTCCCCTGTTTTTTATGTTTAGGGTGGGTGGGTGGGTGGGGGTTTGATTTTGGTGAGGGCACCTTGTCCCTAGGCGCCCACCTAGGCGGCTAGGCACCCAAACCGCCTAGGCACCCGAATCCGTTTTTTTTAACATTGCACATGGCCTCATCCCAACCCCCTTCCCTTAGGGCCGCCCAGGTATCTGGGCACCCACCTTGGCGCCTAGGCGGTCGTATCCGCCTTCTTGAAAATTGGAGGTGACACACCGCCTCTTATTTATTGTACATATATGTTGTGCAGGGAACATTTTTGTAAGTTCCATGTTGAACAATGTGTGTTTAAAATGTTGCTCTCATAACAAGTGGCCCTAAGATAAACTTGCAGAGACTTAGGTTCAAGCCTGAGTGTTAAACGCTAAGGTTAGAGAGTTTGGGCCATCAAAACTAAATATAGATTAGCCACCGAGTGCACTGTTAACTTGGTATTTGGCATTCATATGCAAACCATAATCTATTAACTTTATTTCATTTTACTAAGTTACACCTTGAAACTTGGCTCTGTTTAACAGGACAAGGAAGAGAGACACACGCAATTCAGCACAACCAGAATCCCAAAACAAAGTTACAAATACACCAACTAAAAGTTATGAATAGATGACAAAATGTCTGTCAATATGATATCCTATAGAGTAATTAAACACTTTAAATTTTAAAAAAATGCAAGTTCTTAGGAGACATTATGCAAAATTCAGTTCATTGCGTTTGAGTATCTATAGAACTCGCAAAGTCAGTGATAAGATGAACATCAACAAGAAGACTCGTTCTCACTAAGCACATAACCAACCTAACAAACTAAAGGTAGAGACCAAGATCAAAGGAATTCAACCAACCTTTTCTGAGAGATAAACTCTAAGGCATGTAAGACCAGAGAATATAGGTATTCAACCTTTCTACTGTAAATCTGTATAGAACCCTGAAGCAATAGAGCAGCTGCAAAAAACCAAGAACAATAAGCACTCAAAAACCCAAAGGATTCAAAAAAAGAACAAAGGGACAAGCATTACAGATTTCAAAGGGAGAAACGTGAATGATAAGAGAGAAGAACCTTCTGCAAAGTTTATAGGAACATGGCCATTGGCCAAATCAGGGCCCAAACAGATCTCAAGCAAATATTCTTCAAGCTGTTTTGCCACATCAAGAGCCCAGTTCGATTCCAAGTCTCGATTAGGCTGCAAAAACTGGAACCTACGCTCATTCTCGTCCATTCTCAGCAACTGTAATTGAAACGCCCATTACCAGAGGACAGAGACAACCCTAGGTCCAAATCCCTGTACCAGGGGGAAACCTAGGTCGGACTGTTTGGGCAAATCATCCATTGGAAGATAGACAATGGAACCATTAGAAGAAAAAAAACACTTGGCCACAGGGGAAACTCTAGATCGAGAGAGCGGGCGAGGTGCATGGAACGAAAGTCCTTTGAGATTTGATTGGTCTTGAGAGCTCGGGAAAAGGAATATCGCTCACCTCTTCTCTTTCTCAGAGAGAAATAGCTCTTGCAGGAGCAACGAAGAGAGGATAAAATCTACAGAGAGAGAGAGCGTGTGTCTCCGTGTTTTCAAATAAACCGCTTTCTGGCCTTGTTCCCGCTCTACCTCACACTCGACATTGGACTGCCATGGACTGCGGAAAAGTAGTTGCGTATTTACGAGTTTACCATCAGTGAGTATTCAAATGCCTTTCAATTTTCAAATAACTTCGAGTCACGACCATCCGACACGGTTTGTGTGCGCCACTCATATGTAGAAATGCGTCCCCTTTTAATAACAATATTTTTTACAAAAAATTTGACTCTGATTTTTAAGGAATACATAATGGACTATATTATCATGCGGCCAAGCCTGGACATATAGAAATATAGACTTGACAATAAATATATTTTTGAAATATAATTTGATTCTAATTTCTAGAGAATATATATTTCACATGGAGATCATGAATGTGAAAAAATAAATCAATTTTAAAAATTAAAAATAATAATTGTATTAAAAAATATTTGGACCGTTAGTTACAATTATTTTTAGATGGACTACCTATTTGCATCCATCTTTAAGATGGATGCTTTATACCTCTGGATTGTATATTGTACAAAAGCGGTCCAGCCTGCATGAAACAATTGTTCAAATATAATTCCTAATATGAAGATTATTAATATGTAAAAAAATAAAAAATAAAAATGGTATGTTTTAGAATAAAATATTTGAACTTGAATCATTGATTATTTGTGTTTTTTTTTTTGGAGGGACCATTATTTATATCCATCTTTGGATGGATGGTTTATGCATTAAGGGATGCAAATGTAAGAATGCGTCCACAGACGCATGAATTACTTTTTAGTAATTATCAAAGGTCAATCGTTTCATGTGAGCTAGTCTGTATGGAACCTCCACTGGTAGTTTGAGCGCGCTTGCCCGCCTAAACACGTGTCATCTAATGGCAAAAATGAGAACAACGTGGGTATGAATTCGGTTCTGGGCCGTACAAATAGTGAAAAAAAAAATGAGATTATTGGTAAAGGGAGGTAACAATCAGTCTCATTGATTTGAGGCGAGTCAGGAAGTCCGATAAATGTTTTTTGAAATTTTGTGTCATCCACCCATTTTAAAATTTAAGAGATAAAAATGATGGTGACCTCCGTATACATTAGATAAATGGTCTCTTTGTATACAATTCCAATAAGAACGAGCTATGAGTGCCAAAAAAATTTGGAAGAAAATGTGATTTATTTCATCTTGGCCTCAAAAACTACACTTGGAATATGTATTATTTTACGGTGAATTTACATGGACGGGATTAGTAAAAAAAGTGAATTACAAGTAAAATAAATTAAATATTATGTTGATACTATAATTAATTAAGGAAAAGCTTTTTATATGCCACCTACTCTCACATAGCACTCATGTCTGAATGGATGGCTAGGATACCTTCACCCATAACATCACAAGTAAATACCTGACCAGTTGATTAAGATCTGACGTCTTAAAGTGTTATATATTTATTTTTTGCAAACATATTAATATGAATTTTGGTACATGTCATCATCTCAATGGGCTAGCATTGAAAAAATATTTTCAAAAAAATAAATTGACCAAATTGCCCCTGAAACTTTCAGGGGTATTATGGTCGCTTCAATTTTTAGGAATATATTTTTACATTTTTTGTAGGTACAATTCTATGAGACGATTGGACGGCCCAAATTTTATGTCAATCTAATTTGTACAAAATAAAAAATAAAATAGTGTTCAGGTGTGACATTGTGATTTGGGACATCTCAACCATCCATTCAGATCTGACGAATGGGAGAGGAAGGGCATATACAAATTCCCTATAACTAATGGCATATAGAAGACTTTCTCATTAATTAAAGGCTGAGGTTTATATGAGTGGTCAATCATAAATAGAGCAAGGCATACCTCCAAACCTTGTGGGAAGATGTTGTAGTGATACATAAAACTCCTACAATTGTCAAGTAATCTAGTGTTGCCGTTGTTTAAAATTTAAAAATCTAGATCTATAAATACTTGGAAATCTAAAAAAAATGAACGACCAAATACTGCATTCCATGATGAATTACTTTTAGGTAACTGTATATCTCGAAGTTGAGACGATCAGTTGGAAAGATTTCAAATGGGAACTTTTGAGATGCACTTACTTTTATAGTATAAGGTCGATGTTTTATTGTTAACTTTTTCCTTAATTATTACTGATACATTGTGAATTTTAACCTAAAACTTATCCCACAAACAAAAATTAGTGAATGCTAAATTATAAATACTAAGTTTTACTCTAGAAGATCAAATGTCAACACAAAAAAAAAAAAAGGAAGAGGGAAAGGGAGAGAGAGAGAGGGGACCAGGACTTTGTCTAATTAACCAAGAGAGATAGATGCAATTAAATGACTATGATGTAATTTAAGAAGATATTTTCATAAGTTTTTTACAAAAGAAAAAAGTCTATATAAAGTTGCAACCTTAAAATGTAGAATTACATATGCGCCAAAAAATTCCATCAAAAATTGTTATTTTAATGTTGAAAAACACTCTAATTGATCATCTCGACATCGAGATGTATGAACATGAAAAAAAAAAAGATTTTGAGTTCCAAAAATAGTGCATATTGCAACACATTATCTAGACCGACCATTTTCAAGATTTTTATTTATTTATAGACTTACTTGATTTTAACCGTTTTTGGAGTTTAAAATTTTATAATTAGATACGAAAATAGATTTTAAGAAAATCTTAATACTTTTTTACACCAACATTACATATTGTGATCAAATTTGGAGGTGCAGCTCAATTGGATTGTTTAGGGTTGTAACCCTATAGAAACCACACCCTTTACAAAATTATATATACAGCTAAATATTTTTTCAACCAAAAAACTGCGTTTTTAAGATATTTTTACAACCATGCCTTTAGGCATCTATTCTAAAGAGGGAAAGTCGTATATTGAATGAACTATTGTTAGCCATATTTACAATAGTGTTAGTATAAGAGCGTGTTTGATAACAGGAAGTGTCTTTCTGGAAGTTTAGAACTTCTTAATACTGTTCAAGTTTCATATTTGATAAAAAAATTGAACTCCAAACAAAACTTCAAGGAAGTGTTCAAGTTCCAATCTTGCTTTAAAAAAAAAGTTCCAACCCAAAGGTTGGAACTTAAACTTGGAACTTTTTTTTTTATCGTACCCCCCCCCCCCCACTCCCCACCATATAAAATGTACATATTTTATGTCTAATATACAATATACTTTATTGTATAATATATAATATA